TGTAGAATTTCTTTGAGAAGGATAGAATTCACCAAGGATCAACAAGGCAAACTTCTAATCCAAAAGGCCAAATGTGCATTATGCGGCCATAACTTTAAAACGCAGCATAAGGGTGACACTAACCATCTCAAACGCCATTTGGAAAAACATAACAGAGCACAAGCAACATCTCAAGGAGACATCTGTCAATCTCTACTTTCTCAATCATCTACCTCATGTAGCCTCGGTTCATGGGACTACGATGCAATTAAAACCAGAAATGCGTCATCATATTTATTGTTCTTAAAAACATTCCTTTTAGTAAATGATGATGAATTTGAAGATATGATTAGAGATGATTTTTATCCCGTATTTTAAAAAATTTCTCATTAATCTTCTCAACATGGTATTTTGAAATATTATCATGAGGAAAAAATAAAAATAATTATTTTTTAATGCTTAAACTGTAATTTTTTTCTAACTTATGACATTTGGATATCTAGAGCACAAACTAGTTATTTACGTATCACAACATACTAGATTGATGACACTTAGCAAATGTTTAAAAGAGTTATTTTTTTTATTTTATTGGAAGATTCGCACGCTGGTGTAAATGTTGCAAATTTAATAATGAAGAACTTTCAAAATTATAAATTTCTAAAAAATATTTTCTATTTCACTATGTTAGACCCTAGAAGGGGGTGATTAGGGTCTTATGCTAATCTAATCCGATTTTATGTCAATTAAAATTAATTAACAAGTTATCCTAGCAAGAATGAAATACAACAATATATATGAGCTAGGATGAGCAATATGAACTAATGAATATATCCTAGCAATGAGATATTACAAAGATATGAGCAAGGATATATAAACAACACAAGGGTAAATAATGTAAACAAAGAGGTGGACAAACTAACTAATGAGACAAAGACGATATGGGCAATGAGCACAAATATAAATAAACGCCAAAGCACACACAAACACAATCAAATGATCACGGAGTTCGGACCTTCCGTCCTACGTCTCCACTCCCCACTCCCGGGGAAAAATCCACTAACACAACCAGGTTTTCTACGCTTACCCGAATAACGTTTACACCTCACACTCGGTTTTCTAGCTAACCGAAAACTTTACAATCACCACTCTTGCAATCCCACTCTACACCCTCTTAAGTGTTGAACTAGACGTGTCTCCCTCAAGTGCTCGGTTACAACCTCTCCCTAGGTTCATCAACCGACGCCACTCCTCTTGGGACGATCCCCGACTCTCGTCACACACTTCTCTCGGTGTACAAGTGTATTACAAAGTGAATCTCACAATAAGCACAATTACAATAAATGATTGTTCTCTAATATGAATGAGAACATAATGAAAGCTCACACTCAATTGTTACAACTCTTACCAACCCAAATATACTATGTATGAAAATACGATAAGCTCATGTGGGTGTGTGTAACAATGAGAGTAAATCAAATCAAATCTAAACTCAATATAAAAACTAGCTTTAAAGAAAGATAATCAAATAACTATACAAATATAAAGCTAGATAAGAGTTTAGAAATCTTCTCAATAGATCAAGAGGTGGAGGGAGAATAGTTGTAAGCTCAAACTTCAATAGATGATCTCCTCAAGCTCTTGTGGAATTGATTCACAAAACCGAAATACTCAAATGCTTAAAAGCTTATAAACACACTTTAAACAAACTTAAAACCTTGTTAAACTCTTGTTTAAAATCTTCTTGGATTGCTATAAGAACTGAGGTATAAGGGGGTATTTATATGAAACCCCAAAGCCAAGAGAAAACCAAGAAAAGACTAAAAAACCAATTCAGCAACGGCTCTGGAAACTAGCCGTTAGAACTGATATGACAGTGTGGCGGTCGATCGCGGCGGGCGACCGCGAGCAACAAAAAAGGTTGACCGCGAAAGTCTCTGGACTTGCTACGGTCGACCGCCACGGTCGACCGTGAGCCAACAAAACATAACCTGAATCTTGAACTCATGGCGGTCGACCGTGGCGGTCGACCATGAACAGACACAGACTAAAAACAGGTTTTGAAAGCTGTTATTCTGATTTTGAAACCCTGCTTAAAAATATCAAATAAATTCCAAAAAATATAAAACTTTGGGGAATGATTGTAGACATGATAATAAACATGCTACAATAACTGGTTTCCAAAAAGGACTTCTCAAATAAAAAATATCATCATTTTACAAAATAGGCCAAAACACGAAAATGTAAACATAAGAATTTTGACATTTTGGCTAAACCATGTTTTAAAACATTACAAAATGATTTTATAGACTTGAAGAAAGATGTAAACTATTATTATGAAGTCTATAAACAATGAATGTAGTATTTTATCAAAATACCCATATAATACACTAAAACATGATTTCATTGAACTAAATAAAATTGATATTGATGAAATCATATATATGCATATAAGTATGAAACAAAAATATGTTTTCTAATTATATTAAATTGTTTCATATTAAAACTTGAAAACTATCAAACCAAAACATATATGTATATATATAACTATATATATACAAAACCAAAACGTGTATGTGTGTATATGATTGAGCTTAAAGTACTAACACACATAATATAAACTCCTAAACTAAATTACCCAAGCTTGATCTTGATCTTCAATAAGCTTGACTTGGTACACTTACGGAAGAAGCTTAAAATTGTATCTTTAACTTGAATGTACATTGCTTCACTCCACTATTCCTCCAACCTCCATTGGATATGATCGTTGAAGCTCTATTCTATCCATCCTCGAACTCGTTGTTTACCTAGAATACAAAAAATACAAATACTAGATAAACAATATTAGTCGTAAATTATTTGTTAAATATCATCAAAACAAGAAGGCCAACACACTAGATAATGCAAGTAATAATAATGTAGATGTAGATCATATAAAATCATATTTTCTATTGTCATTCATAGATGCATGTGTCATATTTTGAATTTAATTTTTCAAAAGCGTATTTAATGAAATTAAACCAATGATAGAAAAAGTTAGGGCTATAGCTTATGCTTATATTGCTTCTGAACAAAGATTTAAAAAATGAAAACAATTGTATAGAAGAAAAAAAATGTAAAAACTGTGTTAATTTTAAAGATGTTGAATACATGTGGAATTCCATCTATGTAATGTTAAATGTACTAATAGAGTATACAGAAATGATAAATAAATTTATTATTTTTATACTTTCTAGTTCTAGCTCTGATAATATGTATGGAATAACTGATGATAAATGGGCAACTATAAGTTGTGTAAAAAACATGCTACAAGTTTGTTATGAAGCTACTATGTTATTATCTAGTTGTTATCGTCCAACTATTACTCAAGCTGCTTTACAAGTTTTAAATATTCAATTTTTTTAATACTTATCGCATGGATAATTATTTTTCAAACATGATTTTTAAAATGAAAAGTAAATTTAATAAATATTTTAGACTTATTCCTATTACTTTTGATTTGTGGATTCTTATTGATTCATGCTTGAAAGATATTGACCTTCAAAGTTTATTAAATTCTTTATATGAGAACATGATATATAATAGACACTAATAGCGGTCAGACTATTATTGCTCTTACTCATCATAATAGTATGAAATATTATTTTTAAAGATTATTTGATGAGTATGCATGTAGATATGGTGTAAGTACACCTCAACCTGTAGCTTCTATAAGCTTAAGAAGGGGCAAATGTAAGCTTTTTGACAGGCAATCAATGATAGAGAGACTAACTGGTAGAATGCATGGATCTTGATCAGGATCATCATCAAGGAAAATTTCTGAAATTGAATAATGTTTAGCTACAACTTTGGTTAAACCTCAAAACAATGTTGATTTCGATATTTTGCAATAGTGGAGATTTATGAAATAGTTCCATATCTTGTACTTTTCATCATGGCTCATGACCTACTAACAGTACATATTCTACAGTAGCTTCGGAATTTACTTTCAGTACATTAGGATGTTTGATCGACGACCACAAAAAATCATTAGATTCGTCTATGATACATGTGGTAATGTGTCTAGAGGATTGGTGCAGGTATAAAAAGAGAACTCAAGGCATCGACTAGCTAGTATTGAAGATAGACTTAATGAGTTGATGATGGGGGATAAAGATTAGGAAGTAATTTGCAATTTATAATTTTTATTTTTTAACCGTAAATCTGTGATAAATTATTTTAGAAAGAGTTACAAATAATAGTGATATAGATGAGTAGGTGAAATGTACTCATCTATTATGAATACGGAGTAACAGGAAGAGATGAGAATAACGGCAGAGGAAGGGACGGTAGTAGAAGAGATAGAAGTGATGGAGGGGGTATGCGATTTGGGGACCAATATCAACATATTAATGTGAGATTTGGGGACTAATATCAAATTTTGAAGATTCAGTGGACTTAGTATCAACGTACCTATAAGGTGAGGGGCTAATATCTAAAAACCCCTATTACTTATTTACCTGCACTAATTTGTTATTGGCGAAAGCCCCCACGCGCTCCTTTCATCTCGTGCCCTTTCTGCTTGGCCCTTTTGCCGCCCGAATCCACTGCGCTCTCTCTCTCTCTAACTTCTCTCTCTCTAACTTCTCTCTCTCCCTTAAAAGCCCTGAAGCTCGTGGCCGCGGTGAGCTCAGTGAGCGCGCGGGGATGATGAAGAGGTACGGGCATTGAAAAACGCAGCATGTGGGACTTCGAGAGCGGATTCGAGCGCGCGGCCCGCCCGACGTTCATTACTGTGCGCCTCGAGGAGGGAACGAGCCTCACCGTCTCGCGTCTGCATCTCCGCCGCGACGCCCGGTCGGGCGACTCCCGCCTGCCCGAGGCCCGCCCGTCCTCGCTCGGGCGCGTCGCCGGCTGCTGCCACCACAACTTTCCGTGGCGGCGTAAGCGTTTCATCTGGGGTGGTGGTTACCAAGATTGGATTTTGATTGGGGTTCTGGGGCTGTTTTAGATGGTTCTCATCTGGGTACGACGTGATTTGCTCGTGACATTTTTCTTTTTTCTTTTTTTTTTCCGCCTCCGAAAAAAATTGGTATTCCTTTGTTCTCTCTCTCTTTTTATCTGTCGCCTCCGTACGGGTTATTTACGCTCGCTAGCAACTTCCCTTCACCTGAATGGTATTGGTTATGCTTGACATACTTTTGATTTGCGAGCAATTTCTCTTGTCAACCTCCGTACGGGGAGTCGACAAGTTAACATTTTTAGGTGATGACTGGTTTTGTGCTCGAGCTGTTTAATTTTTTTTTATTTCTTTCTGCTTCGAACAGAAATTGCTGCCAGGGAGACGCTGGAGAAAGTCATGGCTCAGACCCTTCTAATGGCCCGTGCTAACCGTTCTGCTGTTCGAGCGGTTTGCTTAGCTGTTTCTGGAGTCAATCATCCTAACGATCAGCAGAGAATCCTCACCTGGCTTGGGTTTGTTCTTATTTCCCTTAGTGATCCAATTCCACCATTCATCTATACTCCCAGTCAAACATATAGCTCTTTTTTCCTGGATTTTCACAGAGACATATTCCCGAGCCATGTGAAGCTGTTTGTGGAAAACGATGCTGTTGCAGCATTGGCATGTGGAACCATGGGAAAGCTCCATGGATGTGTACTGATTGCTGGTACGGGTACAATTGCTTATGGATTCACTGAAGATGGAAGGGAAACTCGAGCTGCTGGTGCTGGACCTGTACTGGGTGATTGGGGCAGGTTTGCTTCTACTCTAAACCTTGTGCTTCCTAAGAGCCTAAAATTAATTGCTAGATGAATTTCATAAACTCCACCTGAACTTTGTGGTGTTTCATACGAACCCTCCCGATAGTTTATACGTCAGAAAAACCCCTCTGAACTTGTCTCACCTAGGTACCATGACTGTTATCATTTAAGTTGTCTTATGCTTCACACTCTTAACAAGTTTTTGATAACTTTCCTTCATTTACTCTTTAGTTTTTACTGAAAAGAGAAGTTTTCAGGTTAGGGTAGGTAGATCCTACAAAGGGTAGTTTAGACTTTTACCCTTCGCATTAAGCTCATTTATGATAATTTCCAAAATCAGGGGGATTTTGTATAATTTTGATAGTTTCAAGGGTTTCTCTGATTAGCGTAGGAGGCTTTTGGACAAATCATCCCAAAATTCAGGGGGTTCTTGTAAAATTGACCCGTAATTGTTGGAGCGCACCAATTAAGACAAGTGATACAATTATACTTAATGGATACTGATACGAGTCGCCGTGCGAGCACCCTTTGGTCGCGGAATTACCAAAAGGTGGGTTGAGAAGAAGACAACTAAAACACAAGATAATTCAGTATGGCGAAGAAAAATACCTTTTTCTAGATTATGAAGAACAAAAGATTACAATCTCTCCCTCACAATCTCACTAGAATCGAGAACAACCTCTCAATTCTCTCTAAACCCTAATACAAAGATTAGAATCTCTCTTAATTGATCAAGCTGATGTTTAGAAACCATAAACAACCCTTTATATAGGTGTACAAACGTGGATGGTAATTTGGTAAATAACCAAACCCAAAACCAACAGGAATTCGTGTGAACAGAAACCCAAACGAATCAGAAAACTGTCGATGAGTCAACTCATGACTGAGATGAGTCGACTCGTCCGAAACTGGACAAAACACAAAACCCAGCAATGAGTCGACTCATAACTGAGATGAGTCGACTCATGACCTCATATGAGTCGACCCATAATTGATGAGTCGACTCAACCTGATGAGTCGACTCATGTACATGTATGAGTCGACTCACGAGCTGAAAACTGGATTCTTCGAATCTGCTGCTCGTCGTCTCGTTCCACGCTTCCTCCTGTGTTCCACTGTACTGTTTGACACCTCTATTCTCATGCTATTATGAGAATCATCTATCCTCAAGCTCTCATGAGGATCGCTAAGTTCCGAAGAGAAGATACACCCATATCAGATACACAAGGACTAAAGATAGGTCTAAGAGAACTTGATCGGAAACAGGTAAGAAGAATATGATAATATAATTAACTTAATGCAGGATATAATCCTCAACAGTACTAAATGGAAGAGTAGGAATCATGTATCCGAGCCCAAAAATTTTGGATAAAGGTTTTATTATTGTTAATTTAATTTTTTTATGTAGTACATATTAGAGGTGCTTTGCATCCCTGTCAATAATTTACAGAGAAGCTATGATGTTCTTAGAACACTTAATTCAGAAGCCTTTCTGTTATGGTCAACTATAAGGAAGTTTTAACCTAGCATCTTCGTTATATTTCCTTGCCTACTAATATTTTGGTAAAAAACTAAGGACATTAAATGTGTGCGTTATACAGTGGATACGGGATTGCTGCAAGGGCTCTGACAGCAGTTATACGGGCACATGATGGGCGTGGTCCTCCAACGTTGCTTACCTTCAACATTCTCAACAAACTTGGTCTTTCTTCGCCAGATGAACTAATTGGGTATTTATTTTCTCGCGATATCTTTTCTCTTCCTATGATGGTGCGTAAGATTTGTAAAATGTTTCTATGTGAATAAGAGAACGAGCTGATATTCTTACGTATGTGTCGACGTTTAAGGTCAAATTAGAAAACTTGGTAATTTGAGCTAAAATGAGTATGGAACCATGACTGAGACCCAGTATTTTGTTCATTTTATCTTTGCGTTGCAGTTGAAAGTGGAGCCTTGACGCTCATTAATTTACTTGTATTGCAGAATGTCTTGCAAAAACAATAAGATATCCGTGCATCCAATTATCTAAAGCTTTTTATTTTTTATTTCAAATCTCTACACACGAGACCAAATGGGTCAAATAGGACAGTTTCATGACTCAACCACCTCAAAACTGTTTTGAACTAAGGGGTTTACTTTCTTAAGAGTAAAATTTCAATTTCTGTCAAAGATAAAAAAAAAAAGCTTGCTATTCTTCTGTAGCAACCATATCTTATCATTGAAGGTTTAACGCTTTCTGTTTGAGATCCATCTTTGTCATTGAACCCTTGTTTCTCCCTTGAAAAAGAATAAACATGCTTGTTCTTTCTTTGGAGATGGGTATGTTGTCATTAAACGAAGTCACATGATACTCATGCGACCCCGTTTGGAAAATTCAAAAGGATAGGTGCAGGTGTTACTTTTAAGAGATTTTTCATTCCTGCAATATTTAGGGTGGCTCATTTAATTTCCCCTTTTCTCTATGGAAATTTCCAGTTCCAATTAATAACAACTTCAGTTAAAAGACTTTCCAGACACTTGAAGCTTAAAAAGGTCATGTCTTTGCCTTTATATCTGAAACAGGTGGACATATGCAGATTCCTCTTGGGCTCGCATTGCAAAACTTGTTCCAATGGTGATAATATCTGCTGAAGCCGGTGACGAAGTTGCAAACAAAATTCTATACGATTCGGTCTTAGAACTTGCTGATAGCGTCAAAGCTGTTGTTCAAGGGCTCAGATTATGTGGTGAAGGTACAATCATTTAGTCATTAATGCTAGATAAATCCTCTAAAACCAACATATTCAAAATCCTCAATGTGTACATATAGGAGGGGGGATATTAAACAAAAAACATTTAACACACCACACAGAGTGTTTTGATTGAGTTTTTCAGTTCTCAATACAATGAAGGCTTTTTCAATGTATACCCTCCGACAATCACATTTTCATTGAAGATGTAAGAGTAAATTTCACAAGATGCCCTAAACTTTGCGGTGTTTTCCACAAAATTCCCTCAAACTTTATAAGTTTAGTGAAACCCCTAAACTTTCAAAATTATACAAAAGACACTCTGGACTATTGAAAATTGTCATAAATGGTGTTGAGATAAAAAATGTCTGCACCATCCTTATCACCCTCGGTCTAAACTAAGCCGAAAAACACTCGGTATAGTTAAAAATGACATGACCTCAAAATTTTCCAGAAAACACGTCTCGCGTGTGACAACTTAAACTGACTACCGTCAATGGTGACACTTCACTGAAACAAGTTCAAGGGGTTTTCTCTAATATACAATAAAGTTTAAGGAGATTTGCGCAAAACACCCCAGCTGATTTGAGTTTTGTGAAACTTACTTATTCAACACATTTTATATTTACTTTTCATTTGCATGTGCCCAGAAGTCTAGTTGCAGGTTTATTGGTTAATTTAACTAATCATGTTGGACTCAGATGTGATTCCGTCGTTGCAGATGGAAACGATCAGTTTCCTTTAGTTATGGTTGGAGGTGTTCTTGAAGCTAATAAGAGATGGGATATCGGAAAGGAAGTCATAAATTGTGTGTCCGAAGTTTACCCAGGGACGCGTCCAGTTCGACCCAAGGTAGCCAGATTTGATCCATATATATCTTAAAAAGTTACGCGGCAATTCATTTATTAATCTTAAAAATAAATTGACATCGTGTTTTTATTTTTATTTCTAATGTTTGAAAGGTTGAGCCGGCAGTTGGGGCAGCATTACTAGCTTGGAATTTTCTGATGAGTGAATTACAAAGCGACCTCGAAACATAGCCTTTTGAGGCTGTGGATCTGCAAAGAGATGCATTTTGGTGTACAGTGATTGAAGTTGAGATCTTCTGGCAGTTCCAGCTTGTGGATGCATTGTTTTGAACTTTGAAGAGAGATTTGAAGCTGAAGCCACTTTCGGAATGTTTCTGAGTACAGAGAACTATTTATATTAACTTTCCTCACGAGTTTGTGTCTGCAATGTAAAATATGAGAGTGTGGAATATAAAGCACATCTGTTTGACTTGAAATGCCAATGTTAATGCATTATGTTTTTATTTTCCCCCCTGACAATGTAGTTAATCAAAAAAAAAAAACTTTGTAATGTTTTAGCCTCTCCGTTTGATTTCAATTGCCAATGTCAATGCAATAATTATCAGTTTATGAATAGGGCAAAGAAAACCAAAAAGTTTAGGAAAAAAAAAACGCCCACCGTGGGGCTCGAACCCACGACCACAAGGTTAAGAGCCTTGCGCTCTACCAACTGAGCTAGACGGGCAAGTGATGGTATGTTATGATATTAACAAATCTGTATTGTTCACCATTGACACCCAAGCTAAGAACACAATTTTCAAGCTTTCAGATCAGCATTATAAGCTACAAAGTTGAAGCTCAATGTATACGCAAGTCAGTTCGCAATCATTTTCTGCAATAGATACTGAAAAATAAGAACCGAAAAAATCAATTTCGTAACTTCCGGGAGCTTCGAAAAACCGTTTTCCAAAATGAAACTGCTAGTAGTTGTTGTGCGTAGCAGAAATTTCGGCAGCACCTCCGGTGCGCAAGGTGCACAACAAGAGATTAGATCACAATAAAATTCTCGTTTCTCAAAGGAAACAAGAACCAAAAGCCAGATATCTCATCAAAGTGAGATATCAGCTCTTCCTCTCGTCAGCTCTAGGACTGCGCGTCGAGGGAACCTACAAGCTATTACAAATCACGACAAGAACACAAATTTTACGTGGTTCGGCAAACTGCCTACGTCCACGGGGTAAGGAGGGGGAGATCTATTATTAGAGGGAGAGATACAACTAGGGTTTATAATCACTCAATCTAAACCCCCCACACAAACTCTCAGATGCCTCACACAAAATCTCTCTCAAAAGGACACAAAAGGACTGCACTTTGCTTCTGCTGCACCCGCCAAAAGAGAAACCAAACAAATCAATCTCCTGCGCAAAACCCTCTGCAGCCGCCACACAAAATAAATCCTCTTGCTTTTCCCACGCCTTCAATTGCACAGCCACCGAAAAATACCCTAACATGGGTATTTATAACATTCCGATCGGGTGGGCCAAAAGAAAAAACGAATAGGAAATAAATGAACTTCCGCATTCATAATTGCCTGCACACTTTGTGAAAACGGCGAAGGAATTGTGAAAAATGTGTCTCTATTTATAGCAAAACACAATCCCAAACTGATTGGGATTCTAAAAACGAGTCTGCCACACCCTGTACCATGGGTGTGGCAGAGGGTGTGGTGCAGGACAGATTCTGCCACACCCTGCACCGTGGGTGTGGCAGAGGGTGTGGTGCAGGACAGATTCTACCACACCCATGGTAGACACCACACCAGGGTGTGGTGGAGTCTGTTTTGGGTTATTCTTCACGTTTTTCACAATTCCTTCGCCGTTTTCACAATTCTCCACCTCGGCGAAGTGTTCCCAACACTGAGCCGACACCAACCAAAACAAATGCATCACTTGTTGCATCCAGTACGCCACGGTAACGGACTCATGACAACGGACTCCATCCACACAAGTCGAGACCCAAACGGGAGTGCGAACACTCACCCAAACGTCGGTATCTACTCACCAAATCGGCTGCATCAAAACTGACTGCCTACGTATCTTCTTGCCCAAGGAATTAAGCCTTCACGTAGTTCACCCAAACGGCCTCCAAATGCCCTCAAACAAATAGAAAAGTCTGCAACTCTTCCCCAATATCGCCAACGGATCTGCAACTAATAGCGGCCCCAAACTGATACAAATCAAACACCTCCATCTGAGGTGAACCAATGGCCGTATCCAAATCATGTCCACCAGCTGCAACCGAATCCAAAACCAATCCATCATCTGCATCCGAAATCAAATGATCCCCAACCTGTGTCACCTCAGCTGGAATCCCAAATGACGCAGTATGATCTGGAGTATGTGGAGTAATCTCCACCCAACGTGGAGTAGCATCACTCTCCACCTGCTGCGATATCCAAATGACCTGATCAACACTCTCCACCTGCCGAGAGTCAAAAGTGACATACCTGCTCAGAACAAAATCAGAAGCTCCCAAACGATAATCAAATGAGCCTCCGAATCCCAAACGCGCAATCGGATCAAATCTCACATCCTCGATGTGACCAAATGCTGGGTATCCAAATATCCGACGCAACCCAAAATCTGAAGCAGCTCCACCAGATCCAATAACTCCTAATGCAGCAGTCGGCGACCTGTGACTAAGATGACCCAAATATGTCGAAGCTCCAGAACCAATGCTCGACAACCAACGCCGATCCTCCTCCAGAAAGGAACGACCCATCGAAACTGTCATCTCATCTCGTCGCCCCAAGGTCTCCACACCAATGAAGTGTCTCCTATTGCCGTGAGCTCGGCACAAACACAAGAAAGGACCCTTATCAAATCTAGAACAACGAGTTACCTTTCTGCCAATACACTTCTTCCAATTGTTGTTGACTTCTAGGACTTTACACCAACGGGAACTGGTCGCGACCCAATAATGCCTAGAACAATCTTCAACTGCGGAAACTAAGATACGATTACCTCCCAATGATGCCTCCTTGGAAGGCCCCCAAATGCCTGACTGAACACCTCCTAAAAGACCCCTCGCTCGATGGATAGGAATGCCAAACTCCACCACGGTCTTGCTCATCCCAATATGCTCACAGGACTTCAATCTGCATGTCATAGCACTCCTCAACAACCAATGCACAGCATTACCAATCATATACCCCAACACCAAACAATGCCACAGTCTAGCCGAATCTGATGAAGTAGTCATCTCCCTATCAATCACCGTGCTCCCAAGCAAATAGTACAAATTGCTCCTTCTGACGCCCTTCATCACCCCTCAACAACCAATGCACAGCATTACCAATCATATACCCCAACACCAAACAATGCCACAGTCTAGCCGAATCTGATGAAGTCGTCATCTCCCTATCAATCACCGTGCTCCCAAGCAAATAGTACAAATTGCTCCTTCTGACGCCCTTCATCACAATCATGGACCCAAATGTAACCTTCAAGCGTGCATCCGCCAAGGTCACCCTATAGCCAGCTGCCTCCAAAGCTCCAAGTGAAATGATGTTCTTCTTCAACTGAGGAACGAACCTCACTCCAACCAACTCCCGAATCACCCCGTCACTCATCCTGATCCGAACGGTACCGATACCACCAATAGAGCATTTGTGATCATTCCCCATGAGCACGAAATCCCCTCTTTCCAACTCCTGAAAGCTGGAGAACCAATCCCTCCTAGGGCAAATGTGGTATGTAGCCCCCGAATCTAACATCCACTCTGTAGAGTAGACAACACAAACTGACGGCAGTGCAGATAACGAGTAGCCCGAAGAATCCGAATCTGAATCGTTGCCACTAGCCTTGACAACATTCGCCTCTGAAGCTTGAATAGCTTTTCCCTTATTCTTCCTGGCTCGATCAACTAACTTTGGGCATTCGGCTTTCCAATGTCCATCCTCTTTGCAAAAGACACACTGATTCTTACGAACTCCAAGATGTGCCCCTCTAGACTGCGACCTCCCACTACGGTTTGGACCATTTGCTCTTGCGACCAACGCCCCTGCTACCGGCTCAATCGAAGTCTCCTTATCCTTCTTTCGAAGCTGATAATTCACAAGTGCAGCAGTGACCTCACTATACGAAAGAGATGCCTTCCCATTAATAAGAGTAAGAACGAAGGTCTCATATTCCTCGTCAGGCAAGGAACTCAACAACAACAACGCCTTGTCCTCATCTTCAATCACCACATCTACATTCGTCAAATCCGCAAGAAGCTTCGTGTAGTGGTTCATGTGATCACCAATGGAGGTTCCTTTCTTCAACTGGAAGCGGTAAAGCCTCCTCTTCAAATGCAAGCGATTCTCCACACTCTTGGTCAAATACTTGCTCTCAAGGATCTCCCAAATCTTCTTTGCAGAAGTCTCATTGATCACATCATACTTTAGATCTTGAGTGAGACAAGACCTAATCACACCACACGCCGTTCGATTCATCTTTTTCCAAACCTTCTCATCAATATTGTCCGGTTTCCCGTCCAACTCCAACGTATCTTCCAAATTTTGCGCATTGAGCGCATCCATGACTTCGCATCGCCAAAGTCCAAAATTGTTTGTGCCATTGAACTTTTCCACGTCAATCTTCATCGAGTGGATATTCAAGCTTTGGACGGTCTTCACGCCAGAAGTACTGCCCACAACTCCTTCTTTCTCGGCCATAATCCTCAAAGCACCACCAAACCAATGCAGAAACAAACGAGAAATAGATCCAAACTGAAAAAGACGAGATTTTTACCAAAAAGATTCCCACCTTTATCACCAAACGAAGCCCTAGATGAACTTCCAAAGCGATCTACTCCCGATCTACTCCTCCAAATAGCCCAAGCGTAGCCCGAGCTCTGATACCACTTGTTGTGTCTGAAGCTGTGTCGAATAACCCAAAACAGACTCCACCACACCCTGGTGTGGTGTCTGCCATGGGTGTGGTAGAATCTGTCCTGCACCACACCCTCTGCCACACCCACGGTGCAGGGTGTGGCAGAATCTGTCCTGCACCACACCCTCTGCCACACCCATGGTACAGGGTGTGGCAGACTCGTTTTTAGAATCCCAATCAGTTTGGGATTGTGTTTTGCTATAAATAGAGACACGTTTTTTAGGGTTTCCTAGACTTGGTTTAGGCTTTGATTAAGCATTGATTGGGGGCTATTTGGAGCACAAAAAGAGGTATTTTTGAGCTATTCGTTTAGGGTTTTATTTGGAGAGATTAAGAGTTTTGTTGGTGAGATTAGTTTGTTCCTTCGAGTGATTTGTAATCTCAGTTTGTACTCTTTCTCTATTAGTGAAAACCCCATCCCTCCTTGCCCCGTGGACGTAGGCAGTTTGCCGAACCACGTAAAAGTTTGTGTTCTTGCCGTGATTTGTAATAGCTTGTAGGATCCCTCGACAGGTCAGTCCTAGAACTGATGAGAGGAAGAGCCGATATCTCACTTGGTTGAGATATCCGCTTCAGATTCTTGTTTCCTTGGTGAGACGGGAATTCTTATCGATCTAATCTCTCTTGTTGTGCTGCCGAAGTGCTGCCGAAATTTCCGCTGCGCACAACACACTTCCCCCACGTGAGCCAACCCGCTCAATTCACGTGGGTGTGGCCCCACGCTATAAATGCGTTCACAGTAGTAAGCCAGCACTGATATCCATTGCTTAAACTGATCTTTGAATCATGAAACGTACCATTTTTTTAATACATGACCTTTCAGTGATGTTACTCCAGTTACATAGATTACAAAATCTCATAAAACAAATGAGAGATGAACTGAAAAGCGAAAACATTATTGCTTACACTTTGTAGAATAATGTACAATAATTGGCTTCATGTAACACCAAAGAGCACCAAATTACAATTTATGTACTACTTATAAACCTCTTAAATGGGTACGACAACAAAAAATAAGTTAACCGGATAAAATTAATATACATCCTACTGTGCTGGACTTCTGCCATATGCTCAGAGCAACATGAGGCAGAATTTTGAGCAGTCTTGCTGCCTAAATATGCAAATGGAGATAGCCAAGCTTAGCTGAAGGATCCAATTCTCAACCTGAAGAGAGGTTGGATACACCGACGCTCCAAAAAAAAAATGCTTGCAAGGCAGTCCATGTTCCAATATAAGGGGCTGTTTGGTTGACAGGAATTAGAACTGTAGAAGCAAATGTTGCAGTTATATTTCTACTTCCAATGTTTTGTTAGCAACGAAGTAAGTTGGGAATGTAATTGTATATCCATATCGTACAAATTTGGCCGTAGCAAATGCTACTAAGTCCTTGCATTAATTAAAAGAACTAAAAAGATGTTATGTATCAATTTCCTGGATTCCAACTCAGAAAATATAGAATAGTTTATAAATGCGGACAAACAAGCACTTGGTTTGCAATGAAATTACATTTCTTGCAACTAAAGATGCAAATCCAGCAGTTTTGCGAATAACCAAACAACGGACTTAAATTTGAAAATACATTCTCTAAAAAAAAAAAACAAATGCAGACATTTAAACAATGAATTTAAGATTAATTTCTAGCCAAAAGTGCTACATTGTAAGGTTTGCGGATTAGACTTATCATCTAAAATATATTAATCTATACTACTTATAAAAGAGAATACTCATGTCAAAACTTTTGATTTTCCTTTTTACCCTCTCAATTTTTTCTCTCTCACAATTATACCATTATTTATAAAACTAATGATCCATAACCTCTTATTAACTATGCACCTCTTCATTTTCTCAAATTATTTGGTCATTCACTAGAATATATTAATAATTTATAATGATAACAAAATTCGTAAATATATGATAATTTATTATAAATAATTATTAATTATATAAAATAGTAAAAGTCATTCATTTAATAAATTAGTGCACATAATTATAATTATTAATAATAGTATAAATAGGGTTACTTCTTTATGTTGCAAAGAATATTACCTTATTTGATAATTAATATCATCTTAGTAATAAAAATCTGGACGTTATAAATTAAAAATATTTTTATTTTGAAAAAATAATTTATATACAAATATTTAGATCCATGAAATTTATGAGACATATACTTTTCTCTTCTTTTTCCCAAATTATTTGGTCACTCGCTAGAATATATTAATAATTTATAATGATAATAAAGTTAATAAATAAATTATAATTCATTATAAAAGAATTATTAATTGTAATGAAATAGTAAAATTATGTATTTAATAAAATATTATACATAATTATAGTTATTAATAATAGTATAAATAGGGGTTGACTCTTTATACTGTAAGGAATATCACCCTTTTCAATATTATAATATCATCTTAGTAATAAAAATTGGACATTATGAATTAAAAATACTTTTATTTAGAAAAGTTAATTTATATAAAAATATTGGATTTTTGAAATCTATGAGTCATTCACTTTTTGTTGGAAAGTAAATATCTCATAAATTTACAGGATCCAATATTTTTATATAAAGTACTTTTCCTAAATAATAGTATTTTTAATTTATACCATCCAATTTTTTATTACTAAGACAGATATTAATTATCGAGCAAGGTAATATATTTTACAACATAAAATCATATAATATTAAAAATTACTGCCATTATTTAATAATATTATAGTAAAATATGTCCATAACATAAATATTTAATAATATAAATGGTTTAATTATATCAATAGTGTTACTTAAACTAATGATTACATTATTATTTAATAATTATACTCCTAAATAAATTGTTTAATAATATAATAATAAGCTAATTTAAATAACTATTAAATGTATGTTAATAATAGTATGAGTATTAATTATAGTATAACTTAAAAAAATTTAATCATAGTGCAATTTAATAACTTTGTAAAATGTTTATATATAATTTATTAAATAATATAATATTAAATACAACAACATGTCCACGTACAAAGCACGTACATTATACTAGTCTGAATATAAAATTGCTTTTTTTTTAACCCTTTACCCTGCCTTTGCTCAAGATGGTCATATACCTATTTACGCAACATTTGTTACATTTAAAATTGTCGTATACCAAACAACTGCTAGAACAAGTATCTTAGTAACCTATAAGTAATATCGCAACCAGAAAGACAGAAGTTCATAATAGGATGAGTAATTAAAAAAATCCTAAGACAGGTGGGCAAAGATACGCTGCAGTAAAGGTCATCATATTATTCAGTTACCTGAAACAATAGTAGTTCATGCAGATCTAGTGGTTTCTCCTTCTAGTTCTCTTTGAACCAATTTTAGAGTCTCCATTACCTTTAAAGATGGGGGAAAACATTGAATTAGTAAAATAAGTTCAATATGCAAGCCAAGTATATTTCCAATATGCAAGAAAGAGCTACATCAAATCAAGAGTATGGTAACCATTAAAATTTATCGGTAATCTTGTTATTGAAGTCCCTCTAATCATACAACCTGAACATGCAAGTGTACCCTGCTTTCTCAACACAAATTGATACCCTTTACAAAATTTCCAGCAGCTCAATGCAAGTCATCAAAATTCAAGCATTTATTAGAATATGCCTAGTCAGTATTGTTCCCAACTAGAGCAGTTATACCAATGAAACTTCAAATTCCCATCAAAGGAATTGCATGTCAAGTGACAGTTCCCCATATAATAGTCAACAACCCATAATACATTGTAAAAATTCAACCATAAATTTTATTTACAGGCTTGGTGGGCTCAATTTCTGTTAAATCGTCTTTTCCAAGGTTATAGTTGAGAAGAATAAGGTCTTAAAAGAGAGCTCATGGTTACAAAATGAACTAATTCATCAGTACATGTTATTTAACATCATACGGAATATCTGTATTCTAAATTGAGACCTTGATAACAAAAAAAATATTGATTACAAGATTTTTTTAAAAAAAATGTGTTACAGAGTCAGAAGGTTCGCGAGAAATCGGTTCAGTGCCGAAGATAATTCAGCAAATGCATATTAAGGCACTGGACATGCCAATACTGACATATTGTAGGTTTAGAGAATTGAACTTGAACTAAATATATGCCATCAACTGTTATACAGGAGATGAGCTTACGTTTCTGACTTTTTAAGAACATGATACTGAATAGCATTTGTTGAATACTTGAGCACACTCATGACTACTTGAATTCACTCAAATACAGCAAAGCATCTGAATCCAGTGCCTTTGAATATTAGGCCAAATCTGTAGGATTATCAGTTTTTTTGTTCAGAACTTACTAACAAACTCTTAATAATCGACCGATATAATTATATGGTGATGGAAACAAATGCCATTTTTCAATGGTTGCTTAGAAATGCCTTAATTGTTTATACCTTAACAAAGCACTTAACTGAAAAATAAAAACACAATTGTCTACTAACTATGGAAATGACATTGGAGCATAACAAATAGAACCTATCATGAAAAAACTCTTACACCAGGATAATGTTGCAGTACTGGAGAGTAATGATCAAGTGCTATGTATATCTTTCCAAGAAGACTCAAAAGCGCATCTACCTCATCACCAAGGAGATCAACCTGAGTTTCAATAACAACAAAACATTATATCAGGTATAGAAAAGCAGGCTATTACTAACCATTTTCAGGTGTCTTCATGGAGTATGACAATGATGCTCAGTTACTCTCCATTATTTTAAAAAAGAGGTAAGACGACAGAAGGTTTAGCATGTACCTTGCATTCAAAAAAAATCCTTTAGATAACATGTGCATAGAAACTTTTACCCGTGAATACCACATAACAACCTCTCACCTTAATTTCTTTTAAATGGTTATCTAAAAGTTTGTGTGTGACAGAGGTTAAAGAAAGAAGAAAGAAGAACTTCGAGGATAAACTTCAAAAGGAAGAAGAATCATAAAGGCAACATAAGTACCAACACAGGTTTCTCTTCCATAAAAAAATATTGGAAGTCGTATTCATCTTCGAGGGTCGATATAAACCAAACATCCAACCGAAATAACATCTAGTGAATTTCTCTCTGAAATCTTTAACTAACTTACAGTACACTATTGCAAGGAAACCGCAAGCAACAAATATATGAATCTATGTGAAAAAGGCTTCATCTACAAAGCATTAAGATAAACATCACTAAGCCTAGCACAATAGCTACAGGTGAATTTATTAAATCTAGAAAATTTAAGCAGTTGAGTTTCTGTGGAACTTACAAGTTACGGTATATTTTCTGCATTAATGGATTTCAATTATAAAGAATGATCTGCAGCCCCACACTATTCGATGAGCTGTTGTGGGTTTATGTTAAAGTAACTATTCATTATCTATGTCACAATTAGGCAAGCTACTTTTTTGTTTCCGCATTCTTCATGGAAAAGAAGTTAAAGGTTTCAATGTTTCACCGGAGCAAATTGGATTATGCAAATTGCAACAATTAAACATAGATTAGGCTTAGCATGCTAGAGATATCACAAGGAGCACAGTATTGTAAGCTCTATACTGAGTAAAAAAGGAAATATACAGTAAAAACATTCAAAAGCAAGAACTTGGGCAAGTACATTATTCATAACAAATACACTTAACAAGCATACATTATTTAACTGAACTTAACATGAGAAGCAAGAACTTGGGAAGTACCTCTGCCTCAGCCTTTTGAAGATTTGAAGACTTTATTTCAAGCATTTGTTTATACAACAATGCTTTTGTAGACATCATGTTGGCCTGTTGCATGATTGGGACCCATCGTCTACTCAAAATCTTTAACCTGTGAAAAGGAAAAAAAAGCACTTTCAGGATTTCCAATCGGCAACATTTGCATTTAGCAATATATAAATTGCGATCAAATAACTCAACACCTTCCTACTATATAACTATTGACAAGTGGCTGCACTCCACTCCCTTGTGCGAAGTAACAAAACGCTTGTAAAACTCACTTCTCAAACTGATAACAAAGACGGCATATGTTATATACACAGCAATCATCAGTCCTTGAATGGAAAAAATGGTATCAATTCATAGACCGGGTTCAACATCACATTGTGCATCAATATATATGAAATGATTGTTACAGATCAATTCTTGTTGGGAGGAAAAATAAAAGAAAAGGCACTCATTAAGCAAGAGCATATAACCACGTACATGGGGGACCATTGTTTTAAAAAGCGGTCTGGGCGCCCGCCTAGGTGGTCGCTTAAACCTAAGCAGTACCTAGACCGCTCGTCTAAGTCTTGGGATCACCTAGGGGAGAATGGGCTACTTGCGCGAACTATACGGTGTTAGAAAGAAGTATATTGCTCGCTTACTTAAGCATAGTAATGATTGAGGAAAGTTAGCTAGGTTAAAATGTACCGGACATTAAAACTTTATTTCCAAGTCCATCTCAAGTAAAATAGTGAGGATATGATTTGAATCTTCAAAAACCATCCTTCCTCTCTCGATGTTAGGTCTGGCGCCTAGAAATGCCTAGTGCTTTCTAAAACATTGTGTGGGACTGCAGATACCAGTTCAAATCCAGTAGGCTAAACATTCACTCCTAACCCTAAATTTTTTCATAGTGTTCTCTTTTTCTAGGGTATATAGGGCACTTCTTCCAACAGAAAATTGGAAGGCAAATCCATATACTTCCAAATCCATATATCCAACCTAATACGATGCCGTGTAGTACGCATACAAATTCATACACCTTCATCTTGTAAGCCACTTGCAAATACATTCACTTTATTGTAATCGCAATTCAAATACAGCATGCATGCAATGCAAATCCGTCAACTTTATCATAATCCCAATTCCAATACATAAATGCATGTACGCACAGGTGTGTGCATGTGTCTGTGTCGTTGACAAAGCATCCGACATGTATAGAAATTTCTGCATATAGCTGTGTCCTCATTAACATGTATAATTGTGCCGTACTATTGGACTTTTGAGAATGGATCACGTGTTGTGCGCAGCGGAAATTTCGACAAAGTTTCTGATGCACAATAAAAGAGAAAGATCGATAAGAATTCTTATTTCTCAAAGAGAACAAGAATCTGAAGCCTAATATCCCATCAAAGTGGGATATTAGCTCTTCCTCTCGTCAGCTCTAGGACTGCGCGTCGAGGGATCCTAAAAACTATTACAATGGCCACAAACTCAAACAAACCAATTTTACGTGGTTCGGCAAACTGCCTACGTCCACGGGGCAAGAATACAAATAGGGTTTACAATCTCTCAAATCTAAACCCTCAAACAATTTCTCAGATCCCTCACACAAAAAATCTCTCACAAAGGATGCACACAACCCAAAAAAAAGGCCTCTGCCTTTTCTTTGCACAGCCGCAACTGAGTTTTTTTTTTTTTCTCCAGACGCCTTTACACCCCTGCACACACGAAACCTCCTTTTCACCAAAAGCCACCGTTCACGAAACCCTATGTTTGTTATTTATAGGTTGCTGTTGATGAAACTCGGGTGGGCCCCTGCTAAAAATTTGTGCGCACTATTCACACGCAAAGAAACTCACGCGGAGAAAAGAAAGAATGAGAATGCAAACACTCTCCAAATGTCAGTATCAACTCACCAAATCGATCTCACCCCCATCAAATAATCCAACCCGGCTGCATCATAAAGACTGCCTACGTATCTTCTTGCCCAAGGAATCAAGCCGAACGTAGTTCACCCAAATGGCCGTGAACGACCTCAATCTAATAGAAGAGTTCGCAACCCTTCTCCAATATCATCAACTCTGTGGCTGATAGCACCTCCAATGGCCTCAAACACCTCCACCTGAGGTGAACCAATGGCCGTATCCAAACTATGTCTGTCAGCTGCACTCGAATCAAAATCCAACTCATCATCTGCATCCGAAGGAATCCCAAATGATGTAGTATGATCTGGAGTAATCTTCACCCAATGTGGAGTAGCATCACTCTCCACCCGCTGCGATACCTCTAAGGTCTGTCCAAAACTCTCTACCTGCTGAGAGTCAATTGGCTTCCTCATCGAAGCCTCAACCAAAGTGACACTACCAGACCTATCTTCCAATGGAGTTATACCTCCAATCACAGCAGTTGACAACTCTTTAATAGGATGACCCAAATATGTCGAAGCATCTGTCCAGAAACTCTTCTGCAAACCATTGCTCGACCACAAACACCGATCCTCCTCCAGTAAGGCACGGTTCTCCAAATTTGTCACCCTATTTAGTTGCCCCAAGATTTCCTTTCCAACGAAGTGTCTCGAAATACCGTGAGCTCGGCTCCAATACAGAAATAGGTCCATCTTGTACCTCCCACCAGAATGGAGTACCTTCACCTTTCTGTCTATTACACACTTCTTCAATCTGTTGGACACTACTAGGACTTTCTCCAAAAGGGATTTGGTTGCAACCCAAACACGCCTAGAACAGCCACCAACAAAGAAAACCAAACGCCTATTACCTCCCAATGATGCCCCCTTGGAAGGCCCCCAAACATCCACGTGAACTCTTCTAGAACGACCATTAGCACGGTGAATAGAGGTGCCACACTTCACCTCGGTCTTCTTGCTCACATCAACATGTTCACTGGACTTCAAACTGCAGATCTTCGCACCCTCTTTCAATCTATGCAAGGAATCAATACTGGAATGGTCAAGCCCCAAATACCGCAGTCTAGTCGAATCAACAGAAGTCGTCAGCTCTCCACCTGCCACTATACCTCCAGTCAAGTAATACAGGTTATTCCTCCTGACGTCCTTCATCACAATCCGAGAGTCTTCCACAATCTTGAGAACCATATCCTCAATTCGAACATTCAGACCCTCTCCAACCAAAGCTCCAATTGAGATCAAGTTCTTCCTCAAACATATCTCACATCATTTAACTCTCTAACAGTCCCGTCAAACATTTTTATGCGAATTCTTCCTATCCCAAGGATCTGGCATGCACGGTTATCAGCCATGTACACCACACCACTATCCACCAGCTTTTCAAAACTGAAAAACCATTCCCTTCTAAGGCACACATGATAGGTCGCACCACTATCCAACATCCATTCAGATTCCTCCGAATAGCTATCTGTAGGACTGATAGAAAGCTAATAAATAGAAGAGTCAGAATTATTACCATCCGATACGATGTTTGCTTCTGATGATGGTTGCTTCCCTTTTTCCTTCTGCTTATTCTTCATCCATTCGTCGAGCTTTGGGCAGTTTTTCTTCCAATGACCAGTGTCATTGCACCAAGCACACTGATCTTTTCCTACTCTAGACTGTGACTTTCAATTCTTTCGGTTCGGATTCTTCCCTCTTGCGACCAACGCCTCTGCTACCGACTCAGTCGAATTCTCCTTATCCTTCTTCCGAAGCTGATAATTCACCAATGCAGCAGTGACCTCACTATACGAAAGGGATGCCTTCCCATTAATAAGAGTAAGGACGAAGGTCTCATATTCCTCGTTGAGCAAGGAACTTAATAGCAACAACGTCTTGTCTTCATCTTCAATTATAACATCCACGTTCGCCAAATCCGCAAGAAGCTTCGTGTAGTGGTTCATGTGATCTCTAATGGAGGTTCTCTTCTTCAATTGGAAACGATAAAGCCTCCTCTTCAAATGCAAGCGATTTTCCACACTCTTGGTCAAATACTTGCTTTCGAGAATCTCCCAAATCTTCTTTGCAGAAGTCTCATTCATCACATCATATTTTAGATCTTGAGTCAAATAAGATCTAATCACACCATCATCACATCATATTTTAGATCTTGAGTCAAATAAGATCTAATCACACCACACGCCGTTCGATTCATCTTTTTCCAAACCTTCTCTTCAATCTCATATGACTTGCCATCTAACTCCAAGGTATCCTCCAAATTCTGCGCGTTCAGCGCATTCAAAACCTCGCATTTTCATAATCCAAAGTTGTTTGTGTCATTAAACTTCTCCACATCTATCTTCATAGAGTGGATATTCATACTCTGAATGGTCTTCGTGCCAGAAGCTCGCGCCAGAAGCACCACCCTCGACACCCGAAGCACCTTCTTTCCCCGACATCTTACGCACCAACGAACGAAGAATAGATCCAAAACTAAAAAGATAGTCTTTACCAAAAGATCCCACCTTTATTACCAAACGAAACCCTAGACGAGCCTCCAAATTGATCTACCCCTCCAAATAGCCCAAGCGTAGCCCGAGCTCTGATACCACTTGTTGTGCGCAGCGAAAATTTTGGCAGAGTTTCTGGTACACAATAAGAGAGAGATCGATAAGAATTCTTGTTTCTCAAAGGGAACAAGAATCTGAAGCCTAATATCCCATCAAAGTGGGATATTAGTTCTTCCTCTCGTCAGCTCTAGGACTGCGCGGCGAGGGATCCTAAAAACTATTACAATGGCCACAAACTCAAACAAACCAATTTTACGTGGTTCGACAAACTGCCTACGTCCACGGGGCAAGAAGGGGGATCTACTAATAGAAGGAAAGAGAATACAAATAGGGTTTACAATCTCTCAAATCTAAACCCTCAAACAATCTCTCAGATCCCTCACACAAAAAATCTCTCACAAAGGATGCACACAACCCAAAAAAAAGGCCTCTGCCTTTTCTTTGCACAGCCGCAACTGAGTTTTTTTTTCTCCAGCCGCCTTTACACCCCTGCACACACGAAACCTCCTTTTCACCAAAAGCCACCGTTCACGAAACCCTATGTTTGTTATTTATAGGTTGCTGTTGATGAAACTCGGGTGGGCCCCTGCTAAAAATTTGTGCGCACTATTCACACGCAAAGAAACTCACGCGGAGAAAAGAAAGAAAAGAAAGGACACGTGATTGTGGTCCCCACTCATGCGCCTCCCAACATCACGTATCCACAAATGAAGTTAATTTTCATTTGTACGTTTCTTAAATATACTAAATATTTAAACCTCAATCATATCACCAGGGTTAATGCAACATATGCATAGGGAAGTTAAACGCCTTACTTTTAAAATCTTCATAGCACCAAGGTTAATGCAACATATGCATAGGGAAGTTAAATGCCTAAGTTTTAAAATCTGCATAAATACAACTACAGAAATAAACTATGTCAGAAATGAGATAAGCAAGGGTGCATATTAAATATATGCTTTACCGCATAGATGAATAAATTTGCTTGTGATTGAGAATCTTGGCTAATCGATAAATATCTCATATGGTCCAAATAATTATAACCAATAAAGCAAGCACATGCAGAACTTCTTAAAATGAAACTTAAATTACAGGTATAATTCTACAAAAACAATCACATCCAGATACACAAGTACAACCCTAAGCTGTCAACATTCACCCATGCTTTCTGCTCAGATGAAGAGTGGAATACACAATGGGAAATTTTAGCGAGAAATTCTCGACAGTACTAGGACTTGAGACAGAAGTTAAGCTTGCTTATTTGGTTGCCTGCAGGAACATGACAGCTTGTCCCTACATACTAAGATTAAATTAGGCATCCACTTATGGCCAAAAAATCTATTTCTGCAGTTCTAGAAACATATTCCATGGATCACATTGACCAGCTATTTTACAGAAGTTATCTAGGCAATGCTAGTGAATTTGTGTAGAACACAGGCATGTGGCAAGCCAGCACTGTTTTAAAAAACCTCCGCCTAATCCGTTTAGGCGTACGCCTAGGCCTAGGCGGTATCTAGGCCGCCTAACTAGCGCCTAGCGCCTAGGCGGTATTTAGACTGCCCACCTAGATATTACGAGCGTTTAGGTGAGCATTGTCTGCTTACGTGGATTGCACCCTGTAGGCCTACCTAGATATTACGAGCGTTTAGGTGAGCATTGTCTGCTTACGTGGATTGCACCCTGTAGGCCTTGATTGTGATTTTATGTGTCGTAGCCTACACGTCCTCCAAACTCCATTAACCTCCAAATATGAACGCCTCCACTACCTCCTCCGACCTTTAGCAAAACCTCATCGACCACCACTTAAATGAAGAAAGAAAAAAAAACGCCCAGAAACCGCTTAGGCGAAACCGCTTAGGCGCCCGCCTAGGCGAAACCGCTTAGGCGCCCGCCTATGCGACTAAGCGTTGGGCGCCAAGTCCGACGCCTAGAAGCGCCCAGCGTTTAATGTAACATTGCAAGCCAGAATGAGAAAATAATTACAAGCATCCCTTTTAATGGGAAAAACTGACTCCAGATATGCATAAAACTCATTTCGTGTCAAAGTAGCATACTATAAATTTGTCATAATGAAACAGATAAGAAAAAATCACGAAAAGGAACAGATAAATACACACCTAGCTTCATTTCTTTCAATATCCGTTGCCATTTTGTTCTCAAAATCGATAGATGCTTTTGATAATTCCATAAGAGATGAGACAATGGAGTCCATGTACTTTGCTTGCTGTTTCTCCTTAGTGATGGATGATAATAATTTGTTTTCTCTGTCTTCGATGATGGCATGAAGCACGGTTTTTTCTTTTTCTGCTTCTTCCAAAGCAGTAGACGTGGTTAATAAATTTTCATTCAATTTTTTAATCTCCATTTCACTTTCATGGATTTGTCTCAAAGCTTCCTCTAATCTTCTCTTCATTGAATCAGCTTCAGCCTTACTATCTGAAATCAATACTTCTTGCTTGATTATCTGTTCTTTAAGCAAATCAATTTCCTGGTTAAGAAGATCAAACTGTTGCTTTTGTTGCATCAATGTGGAAAACCTAGTTGAGGCATCATGTTCCTTTTCTTTCATCAGTGTAGACAAGGATGCTATGGTCTCCTTCAACTTCTTCTCCTCCTCAATTTCTTCACTAATTGCTCGTTCCTTCTCACAAACCAATGCTTCAAGAGAGGACTTTTCAGCGAAATGATTCGATAAAAAAGAGTTAATTTTAGAAAGTCCATCAGCAATGAATCCTCCAACAACAGTAGTGTAAGTATCCTGCACAAGTCTGGCCTCAATCTCTGCATCCTCTAGAGCACATTTGTTTTCACTAACTAATTCTTTTAAAATAATGCCATGCAGCTCATCTTGGATGCTAGCTTCTATTTGCACATCCTTTAGGTCACCTTCAAGTCCATTTATTTGCTGCAATAACTTAGCTTCCGCTGAGGAATGAAGAAACATTTGATTCGATGCATCTGAGACCTGCGATGAAAGATTCTTAACTTCTTTTCCTTTTTCTGAAAGTAAACCTCTCAAACGCTCATTTTCAAAAAGCAAGGTATCAATGTTTCCCTTTAAACTGCATAACTCGTCGTGATCATTTTGAACGATAGACAACTTCTCTTTCTCCAAAAGAATACCATCCAACTTCAAAATAACTTCTGGAATTTTTTTCTTCAAAAGCTCAAACTCTTTATCCTTCTTAAAAAGTGAAGAACCCTTTTCCCTGAGGAATTCTCGTTTGAGTTTGAATAGCTCTTCTGTCTTTTCCTGGAGAGCTGAGTCATGCTGTCTCCTCATCTTGATCATTTCAGTTTTATAATAAGACGCCAGTTCATCCTTGCTCATCTGCTTCAGTTGCAAGGGGTCAGCAACCTCCATCATGGGTTTCTCACAATCTTCAGGCTTCATCAAGGTATTACCATTTTCCTCAGCTTGTACTGCATAGGGCAAATGGTGATTCCCTGATAATCTCCTAGAGGGATGATCCTTTCTTTTAGAAGTATTCCACTCATCAAAACTATCCAAACTGTTATGTGAGAGAAGTGGACCAGAATCTGAGCTTGATAAGGATCTACATATGGTATCAAGATCCTCACGCATGCTAGAAAGCTCATCTACACTTTGTTGCCGATTTTTATTCAACATGTTAATAAGACCTTTCTGTTCATGCAGCTTTTTTTCGAGCTCATCCTGGATGGTACTTACACTACTCTTAATTAGAATGCTGCTGATTTCCCTTTCAAATTCATACTCTTCTTGATGCTCAAACATGGAAGCCTTCACCAAGTGAAACATTTCATTTACTTCTTTAAACAATGTTTCTACTATCATTCCCAAAGAATCAACTCTTTCATTTGTTTCTACCATTTTCTCACTACTCCGTGTTTGAGGAAGAATATTGCACAACCCCAAATCTGTAGAGGAATTTACTCGACCAGTAGAACTGGAGACTATAACACTATTAATATCCTCCTTGAGCTTCTGAATCTGCTCTTTGGCTACAAGTCTTAATCTACCCAAATCTGCTACCAAGCTCCACTTTACAGTTTCATCAAAATTATTATGAAACTGCAGTTCTTTGTTCAGTCTTGATATTTCTGCTTCTTTCAGGGCAATTCTCTCTTCTGACTCTTCAACTACAGCATTTACCATCCCCTTAATTACAGAATCACTCACCATCCTTGACACGGTCAGACGGTCATTCAGCTCATCCCAATAGTTATCCAAATCATCAAGCAAAAATTTTTCATAGAACACTGATTCATTACAGATAGCATCACTTTCCTTATAACTGCTGCTTGATAGCACCTCGGTATTATTCGGAAGATCATGCGTCTTATCTAACACCTCTGAACTCCCCATACCTATCTGTAGAATGCAGTACAAATCAATACATGCTTAATTTCAAATTTCCATGGAAAATCTCAAGAAACAAACTGTGTAAGAGGGCATAGTGAAGAAAACATTTGAAGATTGCTGCCCAACCACGTCCAAGTAAAGGTTATATAAGAAAGGTAAAATATTCAGCACCACTGGCATATTTGCAGCACCAAAAGACAAAAGACAAAGTCATGAGAAGCAAAAGAAGAATGAAAAAGAAGAGTTACTAGACTTAAAAAGACATGACCAGTGGAAAAAGACAAGTAATTGCATCTACCTTTTTCAGCACAAAAAAACTGGCTGTTCTTTGGAAACATAATTAAGTTTAGGATGTTTCTATGCAATATGTATGCACTTTCGGATGATAATTCCTTGAAATATATGAAGCCTAGTGCAAAAATAGGAGGCTTCAAGGGAGCCAAGGAAAAGGATGAAGTTTTTCACTCTGAAATATAACAAATGCTATTCATTCGGGATGCCAAAATCAGGATGCTTTTATTCAAATGGAATCAGCTCAGAGCAAAATTTATGTCCAAATCTCAACTTTTATGCTCAGAATTCAAACAAAACCAACACTGAACAATTCTAAAAATTAATTCAAGCAGGAGACTCCAACATTTCTATAGAAGACTATCTTTAAATGAAATACTTCTGATTAAGATGCCTACCGCATATAAACCAGGATTCGAGAGAATTTGGGAGCAGAGCAACACTCTCCCTTTCGACAAAACTAAAATTATCACTTAATGAAATGTTAAAGCAATGATATTCTCATCAAAGTAGAACTAAATTAGGAACAAACGTTTAAGCCAAAATTGCAACTTTTATGACTTTAAGACATCTGTTTCCTAGTTTTAAGTGCTTGCAATTACGAAATCTAGACAAAAATACCAAGTTTTGAGAGAATTAACGTAATTTTCAATTATAGAATGTCTGAACCAAAAAAAACCAACCAACTTGGAGCGAAACTCACGTCACAATCACTACTTTTAGAACTTTTAATTCGAAATCCAACACTACAGATCCAGAAACCAATATATGAAAAAATTCATTAAAATTTCAACCTTTCAACTAATAATTCAAACAAGGAGCCGAGATGTAACAAGACAATCAACTCATATAAGAAGCCCAGAGCTTTCAGATAGTTAAGAAGGTAGAAAGCGCAAAGTATTGGAAAATTTCGAAAATTTTCAAAATTGAAACTTTATCAAAATTCATATTACTTTTCAGAAAAACCAGAGAGCAGATTAAAGTCAATAATAACCAGAGCAAAAATGCTCAAAGCAACAAGGATCCGTAGCAAGAGCGCTAAATTTCAAACAATCCAACGAAGAATTGAAGCAGCTCCCCCCAAGAAAACGCTCGCGGATTCGAAATAGGCGGCCTTTTTAATCGAAACCCCTTTCGAAAACCCCCCGTCAGCTTGCAAACGTCTAGGGTTCACTCATCCCCCCTCGGAGAAAGCAAAACTGGGAGCAGAACCCCAACCAAAAGAACCCAGAAAGCAAACAAACAAGGCAAAAAAAAAACACTCACCTTTTCGCCCCCCAAAAAAACCCCCCTTATCGAAATCTCCCGCCAATTTGTGGACGCCTAGGGTTCAATCGACCTCCTCCTCTCTCTCTGCCACCGTTGCTCGCTTCGATTCGAAGGGAAAGGAGGGATCTTTTATTTCTTCCCTCGCTTACTTTTTGTTTTTTCTTGCTTTTTTGAGGGACTCTCAGGGATTTTTATCATCATTAGGGTTTTTGTTGGGAAAAGGTTTGACTGGCGATATGAAGATTTTATCACCCAGACTTTTTTGTCTCTCTTTTGAGCGATGAGGGGGGAGTGTCTTCTTGAACAGCGCGCCGTGTCGGAGCCGTGATTTGTTATCGCTAGATTTCAGTAATTGCTCCTGGATTAACGGGATGCTGATTAGGAATTTATTATTATTTTTTTTCTAAATTCATTTTTACTTTTTCTACTTTCTGAATTAATTTTACTTTTTCCCCTTTTTTTGGGGTGCTGATAGAAAAGCAATTGAGGGGGGTAAAGGCGGAAGAAAATTTAAAATGCATCTTATCAGCGTTGGAGCGGCGTATAATCTAGACATTTGGAGATGTTTGTCTTTATATAAAGTTTACGTATCTATTGACGTTATACTAGCATATACTTTTTGTTTGATTCATAAAGAAAAACGGGTATCATGTAGCTCAAAAAAGACGATGTGACACCCCGATATCAATTTCCTTCAAATTAGAAAATTTTTACTAGGAAGTCACAATAGTCTTGGGATGACGGCAATGTACCTTTCGCTAACTTATGCCACAATTACCAACTTTATGGAGGGGGGGATCCGATCAGCTCTTTTAGTGATGGTGTTCATGTTGATCAAATTATATACATTCAATTCTAGGGGATTCGATCAGCTCTTTTAGTGATGGTGTTCATGTTGATTAAAGTATATACATTCAATTCTAACACACCTGACGTGACGATATACCCTATTCTATTTCAAGTATTAAACAGTTGCTTTGTATATTATGTTGACTAAGTTATACCTTTATACCATTAGTGGAATAGTGCTAATGAGAAATCAAAAGAATAATTAATTGATTCAATCAACTACTCCGAAAAGGGAGGGGGGGGTGGAAAACCATCCCTCAAATCATCTTCCATTCCTCTATTTTGTGACAACAAGAGTGCTGTTCAGATTGCTTGTAATTAATCTGGTATTTCATGAGCATACGGAACACATTGAGGTGGATTATCATCTTGTCCAATAGGATTATATTGCTCACAATATCTCTCTTCCTTACATATACTCCAAATATCAACTCAAAGACATGTTTGCGAAGGCAAAAACTACTACTGAGTTGTTTTAGTGGGGTGGGGTGCGGGGTGGGCCCGGTGGGGTGGGGTGGGGGGTATGTTCTCTTTTCCTATACATGTCATCTAAAAGATCAACTCGGAGACATGTGGACGAAGGCATAAATTACTACTCAGCTTATTTCTTGTCCAAACTTTCGGCGTTTGATTCACCTTAAGCTTTTTTTTTAGGGGGGTGGGGAAGCATATTTATGTGTGTACAGGCCTAATATTGACACACTCAGGCCCATGTATTGTCTATATATATGTATCATATTCTAAGATCAATATACACATTATCTTCTCTCAGTTATCAGAAATAAAGTAAAAAAAACCAAAAGTGGGGTATCAATGCCCTTGCCGCGAATCAAAAATCTCGATTTAATGCTCAACCATCGATCAAGAATTTGCTTCTGCTGATGGATATGATGAATATGATGATGATGATTATGATGCTGATGATTATGATGATGATGATTATGATGCTGATGACGACGGCGTTGCTTTCACATTGGAGGAGTTTGCTTCTGCTGATGCAGGCAAAGAGGGTGAGGAGGACAAAAGACCGATGAAGAGGCCGAGGGTGGGCGAACCTGAAGCTTCCTCATTATTGGACTTGATATTTCAGCTGGAGGGAGGCGGCAATGTGAGAGACTCGATGCCATCAGACGTAAAAGCTGTTATTGAAGATTATGATGATGTCGATGATGAGAATGATGATGATGATGATGATGATGATGATGATGATGATGATGATTCAACACCAGAAGGTATTTCATTAGCATAGTACCTGGCGGAAGAATTTAGCACATACCCCGGCTTTGATCCTGACTATTTTTAGACTTCATGTTTCTGATGTCTTTCAAATTCCTAATATAAGAAGAATTTCCCTGATTTTATTTTGCTTTCCTCGTAATTTTGAATTTGGTTTTCCAGAAACTGAATTATGTTCTTTTCCTATATTTAGTCGTCTTAGCCTATGCTTAGTTGATTGTTTGCGCGCGTCGTGTTGTTGAAAACAACAATGTTGTATTCAACTCTAAGATGCCATACAACAGAAAGAACGTTGGATTTCAATTTACTAAATATGCGCTGTCAATCTTCTAAGTTCACAAGACTAATCCCCGAAATTTAATTGGACACAGACAAGCCAATGCATTAGTGTAACCTCTACTAATTAATGAGAAGGTGGATTTTAGCAGCATGACAAGAAAGATATATATAAATATGATACAGAAATCTAAAAGATGAAGAATGGGAAAATCTTTACTTCATCAATTTACATTGTAACTATCAAATTGTTTACACTTTGCATGGAAGAGAAAGAATGAAGCATACCGCTCACGTAGTTGAGCTTGTCTTTTGCATAACATTTTGAAATGAGATCCTTCTATTGCTATAAACTAAAGCTAGAGCTCACAAGTTACTTGGTAGCAATTTCACGTAAGAAAGTACTTCTCTTCTCAATTCCTCTCTTTTTAACTTTCCCAGTGTAGTTAATGGCAACGGCTTTGTCCACGGGATGAAAACATTCGGTATCTTAAACCTGCAAAGCGAAGAAAACAATCAACCTGAAAGTATAAAAAAAATACAAAAGAAACCCTGAAAGTATAGTCATATGATTTCCTTAAAAAAACTGACTGTCAAAAGACTATAGTAGCATAAACTCATAATCTTCTCTTGGCTTCCGTACAAAGTTTGTGTACATAGTTCTTGGAACCAATGAATTACACTGCCAATAGTACTAGAAGCTGAAGATTATATACATAAATGTTGACAGGTTAGATATACAAGTTAACCTGCATGCTTTTGCAAGAACCTACAGAAAACACAGAGAAATCAACCATTTGAAATATCATAACATTATCATCGCGGAAATTATTATAAACAACATGAACGGGTCAATATCTTACTGCCTGGACTGTTATCTACCTTAACCAGAAGAGAAGTAATAGTGTAGCAAATATTTTAGGTGTATAAGGGTAAAATTGCATAAAACATATCATGTGTGAACTACATGACAATTTTAAACTAATTTTCATTAATCGTAATACTTTAGCGAAAAAAGGCCATGGTAGTCATCTCTCTCTAATTTAAAAAGTTCTTTTTGTTTTTTTTTCTTTTGGGCTTTTACCGTAAAATATAAAAAGAGAATAATTATGAACAAACACAAGAAGACCTCAGTCCAGACACATTTATTATGATCTTTATCTTCAGCCATGCTATGATTGACTACCAAGATTGAAGAAAACAGAATTAAAGCTTCCAGTGCCAATATCAAACATATTTTTTAGTTCTCTTATTAAAGAGCAGCTACTAAACTAAAATTATTAAGGAAGATTATATGTTTTTAATTCCAGCTTTCATGTATGAGCAGATGATGATACATTAAAGCATTAAAATTAGATTACCCTGTCAGATTTTGCTGCCGGCAATAGTTCTGGAGGATCTCATTTGATAGCTCTTTTACTCCTTGATAATTCCATAGCTTTAGATCATCAGTCCATTTCCAGTCTACATTAATGACAATACAAGCAACTACCTTTTCACTCAGGCGTGTATCTGGAATACCGACAACAATAGCCATGTGGACTCCTGGGTGTTGAGAAAGCACAGCCTCCACCTAAAAGCACCAGCTGTGTCATGATTTAAGTTCATACAAATGCATATAGAAAGAGAATATCAAAGATAACCTTATTGGTTTCGGATTTGAGCATAGATTGTCTTAGTGCATATCGAGGTTATCATGGATGATATGAGTTATAGATTTGAGAAGAAATCATCTCAGTGGACTTTCTTGCTAACCTCTCAGTTCATAGTAATTGACAGGAATCCAGCTTGAGGTTCCACATTATCAGTTTACGTCTACTTAAGTATATCATGACAGAGGATCAAATGTAATGGGATTCTTCATCTTTACGTTAATTGTAAAAGTTAAAAAAGGAGATAGTGTACTACCAATTTGTTACTACTTACTAGGATATGGTATAAACATGAATTTAATAAAGTTTTACTACTCTCGTACCTCTTCAGGGTAGATGTTTTCCCCTCCACTTTTAATCCGACCTTTTTTACGCCCAATGAGCCATAAATCACCATTGCTATCAATCCACCCTATATCGCCTGTATCAAGCCACCCATCCTCAATAGAATCCACTACAATTTTCATCTTTTTGTCATAATATCCAACCATTACATGTGAGCCTCTAGTTAAAATGCTTCCAACCGAAGGAGAACACGAATTGTCAGAATCACTACTTATTCGGAGTTCAACATGAGGAGCTGGCTTGCCAACAAATACTCCTATATGCTCACTGTTGACCTTGTGATGACTAGAATGAAATTCTCCAGATTTTTGGAGTACCGGATCACAGAGAGTCATGAAAGTAAGTGAAGAGCATGTCTCTGTCATCCCTTGCATAAGAAATTTTGAAAAATATGTTAGCCATGGTAGCATTTTTTCCCCTTCTAAGTATCTAACAAATGCATTTAGGATTTACCATAAGCTGAGATAATCTTTGTCTGAGGAAACGTACGAGCTGCAAGATTGATAAGAGAAGATGAGAGACTGCCACCACCATTGAGAATTTTCTTTAAAGTCTCTCCACCATTTGAATTGTTTGAATTCCTAAATTCAACACAAAGTTTAGTAATAATGAAAAATCACAATAGTGCCGTACTATGGGAAAAGAGCATGATACCTAGCAAAAGAAATCAGATCGGAAAGCATTGCAGGGACAGTGATTAGAGAGGTCACATGGTACTTTTTGATTAATAAAAAGGATGATCTTGCATCAAATTTTGGCATAAATACATGGCATCCGGCTACCATTAGCATGGCTATGCATGAAGAAATCCCGCCAATGTGGCAAAGTGGAGCTGTATGAAGGTACACCTGCGAATCCACAAGTTTTAAAGTTTACAAAACATTTGTTTTAATGCTTAGGTTAAGTTTTGATAATTTCATTAAAAAAAATCAAGTTTTCTACTCAAAGTTGATATTAGAAGCTTGTCAAAGAAGTCATGAACTTGAAAAGTTGATCCTATAGTGGCTGAAATAGATCAATCATGAAGTCTCGTGTGTTATATTTCTATTCTTGTCTCTTTCTTTATTTCTTTTCATTTCCCTTTTTCTTTTTTACTTGACAAGCAACCGACTGATATACTATAAAATCAGGATGAGCTTGTGGGAGGAAAAAGGTAACTCTATTTCTCTTTTATCTTACTACCTTCAAGACCATTATTTCCATCTTGGAAGCCTAGCTTTTTCTCAATGGTAACATGAATGGCTTGAAATTCTCCACTAGTTTGTTACATTATGTTGAAAATAGGAATTTAAATTCACTAGTAAAGAAGAGCATACATCACTCTCACCATAACCAACAATTGCAATTTTTGCGAGGGATTGCACAATTAAGGATGTATGACTTATAGCAACTCCCTTGGGTCGTCCAGTGGTTCCTAAATTCATGAAAGCAAATAAATGTTACATAATTGAATAGTCCGAGAACTTGTAAAGTATTCTACATCTGAATGCAACCGTTATCGAAAAAACATAAACAAAGAAACATTATAAGACATAAACCCGCAAGAGAAACACTTGTTACAAGACAAGGT